CCAGTCAATTTTTAGCTGCGCTGGTGGTTGCCAACCGGTGGTGGGAAAGGCCGTCAAGTCATTCGACCAAATTCACGCAAGCAGGTGTGGTAGTTTCAGCTGGGAATGACAATGAGTGAGGCGTGTGAGCTGTTGGCGAGCTGTTAGTGGGTGGAAGCAAAAGAAAACGGCAAACTGCATCAAACTGCAGTTTGCTGAATCAAGGTCTCAAAGACTCTTAGACTTAGACTTGCCTTTGTACCATATGGAACCATATGGAATCTCACATGGACTTGCAGAATCAAGTTGACCCTCAGCCTCAATTGTAGTACATCCGAAAGAAGAGCGACCTGTATTGACTCCAGCCCTCAAAACCGCCACAATTCATTCATTCACGATGCATATCCAAGCTGTTCGGCGGTTACCACAATCACGCCCAAAATGACCCAGTGAATTTTCAGCATCCTGGATATTGAGGGACAAGCACTGCATGGCAGATTTGTACATTGCATTTGGGGTGGTTGGTAATTAAAGGCTCGATGCAGGCCATTATGCAGGCCGGCGTGTTCCTCGTGTTCAAAGTAATCAATCCTAATTTCACTGAAATCATGGCACCCATCGATCATTGAAGAAGGTCTCCACGCTTCCATCTAAAAGCGTCGACATCCACCCTCGCAAACTCTGGCCTTGGATGTCGCCGCCGCCTGGATGTGACCAGGAAAACGGGGAGTGACAGCCGGCGCCACGTTTGGAGCAAGGCGACATGAGGGGCACACGAACACGTCGCATTCCCATCTCAACCTGGGAGTACTGCCTCTTTGACGTGAAGGTTCTCAGTGAGAAGCTTCGTGAACAATGTCATTCAAGGACAGGACAGGACAGAACACATGAAGCTTTTGTGTATAAGTGAAGACAAAGGGCGGCTAGCAAGGGTGAGCTGTAAAAGTATCAGTATCGTCCAACATCAACTCGTCAAATGGGAGGGAATAACAAAGAGCTTTCGCACAAATATTCCGACACACTAATAGTTTCATGGGTGGGAATACAACAAAGTTTTTGCACTAGAGTAGTTTTTTTGTTGAGGTCTGCTTTGTATAATGATTGATGCTATCTTAATGATATTGGTATGATTTGACCCGCCCCCACCACCACAACCACCACCACCACGACCACTACTATCCTATTACTATTACTACTACTACCACTACCAATACGACTACTACTACTACTACTGCTCCTGCTCCTGCTCCTACTCCTACTACTACTATTCTTACTACTACTACTACTACCACTACTACTACCACTACCACTACAACTTCTCCTACTCCTACTATCTACCTACCTACCTACCTACCTCCCTTCCTACCTACCTACCTACCTACCTACCTACCTACCCCTACCTACCTACGCCTACGTACCTACGCCTACCTACCTACGCCTACCTACCTACGCCTACCTACCTCTACCTACCTACCTACCTACCTACTAACAACTAACTAATTGCTACTTGCTACCTACTACCCACTACTAGCTTTAGTGGGCTCGACTCTAGTCAGACTCCCAAGTTTGTTTGCTACCGAGGGTTAGGGGATTTGCTATTCAAGATCGAACATTCAGAACCCAACCCACTCACGCAAAAGAGATAACAAAAAGAGACCCTGGAGGTCCAACCATGACCGAACCATGGTGGTCGAGTGCGGTGAAGAAACGATGAAGTTCTCAGGTGTCAAATCCCCGTCCCATGCGGTTCTGAGGATACAAACCTGCATCACTTTACAGGGAGGAACGCGAGTTTCACACACGGTCGTTCTATGAGAAAAGAGCGACAAACATGACCAGATATGTCCATGGAACCCGACAAGCGTTTCCTACTAGGGCAATCACTTATGCACAGCTGGAATTACAGGTTCCAGGCACTGATTCAGTGATGACCCACAGCAAGGACATTGTTTGGCCCAATGTTGCAGGCCCAAAGACCCTGTTTAACTGTAAAACCTGGTCTAGTCGTCTTCGTGATGTTTTTGTATGATCAACTCCTGTGAAGTGAGGTCTTCGACCGTTGGAATCGTTGGAATCCTACTAGTGTCATGCAGGTTTTGGGGCCTGGCATTCATTTTCATGCACGAAAGCATTAGTTTGAGGTCGTGGGGTTGCCAGGGATGGACTTTATGAGAAGTGGCTCAGAATGAGGTCAACTCCCGAAGGCTCGTGAAAAAATGCCCAGTGGAACATGATCCTCTTTACGAAGGAACCGGACAAATCTCCTACGAACCGGAGTGGAATGATGTGGTTGGCTTCGGTGTTTGCATTGGGACATGCTTTGCTTTGCACAAGACTCCAGCTAATGTTCATGGTCAGTCCCTCTGAGTCGTTCACGACTCCCGAAGCTCGTGCTGTGACGACAGACGCGGTCGAGTCATGTTCCATGTTCCAACACTCCAGGTATTCCTGGTGAAACAACAGAAATCAACCTGCCAAGCCACAGAACCTCATGCAATCATGTCAAGCCCCTGCCAGACTCTCTAATCATGCATGAGTAACCAACTGAAAGGTTGGTTTAAAAAGAATGGTATCTTTCCAAAGGGCATCGCTACTAGGAACAAGTGCCACGCTGGTAGTAACAGGTGCCTTACTAGTAGTAACAAGAAGCTATTAGAAACAAGTGCATCGCTACTAGGAGTTTGGGACTCTTTCCTCTTTCCCGTCCCAGGACTTCGACTTAGCTGCCGGGCCCCAGGACTCCACTTGGCACGCTCCGGGACCTGTCCCCGTGTCCACCGTTACAGTCCACATGGGTTAGGGTTTGGGGTTTGTTCTGAAAGTCACCTGACTGAAAGGCTTTTAGAATCTTTGATTTTCCCATGGTTCTTATTAATGTTTGTTAGTCATTGCATCTACTACTGCTTAACATATTCAAGGACATCCAAGCAGGTGTCTTAATACATGAAGGAACATCTTGGAACTTCCCAGCAAAACATGTTTTTGTTTTTGGCTTCAAAACTGATGATCTCTGGTTGGTGGTACTTCCAAAGCCCCAATTACTACTTGACTTCCGTACCTGCCTGCAGCAAGACTCCTGGATGGAGTCCAACCATCAGTATTTCAATTTCCTTTGATGGCCTTAAATTTTAGTCTAACATCCATCCGTGTGAATTCTGAACATATTGATCAAGCAAAAATAATGTTGACCAGACCCCAAATAACACATATTGCGTCTCAACAATCAATAATACATGGACCCCAAATAGAACTGTTTTTTTGTGCGGACCCTGTTTTTTTTTTCAGCTGCTTCCAAACCTTGTTTCTGGATGTTCAGCTCCTCCAACCCTGATGGTGGATTTTCAGCATGCATGTTCCTTCTAAAATTGTTTAACATTTTCATTTGGGCCTTGCCGTTGGTAATCTGAAATCAACCCACGACTACCCCTCACAAGCAGACTAAACAAACCCTGGCCTGGCTGGTTCTTTTGGTGGTGTCCTTTGCAATTTCTTTAGATGTCCTGTTCATGCCTTTCCTTTGACTATAATTTCAATTAATGTCCCTTTTCTGTCATTTTCTTTTCTTTTCATGTCCTTTTAGGTCCTTTTCTTTTCCTTTCATATCCGTGTCTTTCCTTCATGTGTTATGTTCATTTCATTGTCTTTCCATTCACTTTCCTTTTGTTTCATGTTATCATTTCATTTCCTTTATTTATTTTCCGTTTACTTTACTTTCCCTTTCCTTTCCTTTTCTTATCCTTTCGTTTCTTTTTCTGTCCTATTCTTTTCCTGGCATTTCCTCTTGTTTCCATTCGTTTTCCTGTCATATCCTTTTCTGTCCTTTCATGTTCCCTTCATTTCCTCTTCTTTCCTCTCATGTTCCTTTTACAACTCCAGATTCTTCTGGATGTATCATTCTTCAGAGTTTGCACTTGATCAAGGGGAGGGGGGGTATTCATAGGAGGTGGACATTAGGCGGCAAACGATCGTTCGTCTTGCGAGTCTTTGGGGCGGTTCAATCATGTGCTGATACAATTATGGGAAACATCTCGTCTGATGTTCAGCTTGACAACGGTGCAAGCTAAAATAAATGAATCTCATTGAATTTCACTTTGGGCGGACCTGCAAACCAATACTCCATCTACCAGCATCTTCAATTTGACCTTGTTTTGAAGTCACCTAATGTCACAGTTGTTTGAGGTCACTTGGGCCTTGCTTCCTACGGTCATGAGGTTATGTGACCTTGTTTTGCTTTGATAATCACGATTCTCGAGGAAACTTGGTGGTCAGATCGGGATGGAAGGGGTGTTGTGGCATTTGCGGCTAGCGCAGGTTTCAGGCGCGCTTCGCTGACTTGGGTATGCAAAACTAAGCCCTGAAATCCAATGCCACGTGGCCTGGAGAATCGGTTGAACAGTTGTCTTGTTGGCAACCAGATTATTCAGCCAATAGCTTTGGAGTAGATGTAGAGGAAGGAATAACGTGGTGGTGATTTCAGAAAATGCTTATTGTATCCCATCACTACACAATGGTGGGGCTTGCACCCAAGATAATGGTCCAATGTGATGCACATATACAGATACAGATACAAATACAGCTCTACTGACAATTGGTGGTACTGGGACACACACTTCGTATGTACGCGAGATATTGTAATACATTTGATCCACTCGCATGTGTCTTACCCGTCTCAATCTCAGTTCCCTGAGCAGCCCAACACGCGTGGCCCTGGCGGGGCTCGGCGCGTCCTGCGCAACGAAGCTCCAGGAGTTGAGTCCGAAGGACCTTCCCAGTGACTGAACTTCAGGATTGGTATACGTGACCAAACTTCAAGACCTAAGTGACCTCATTCTGAGATCTCAAGAAAACGGTCCAATGGAAAGGTGCTGGTATGTTCCTTTTGCCACTGTTCTGGACAGGGGTTCGGTTTCCTTTTCTATTTTTGGCATCTGTGCGGAAGGAACAGCCTCCCTGTACCCGCGAAGGAGTGATACAAAATGGAGTC